TTTCCCTTTATATTCAAGCTGACCAGAGGACAGCAATCCTATTTCCTGACAAACTTGGAAATTTCAGAATTTGTTCTCATTCCACATTGGAAATAAACCAGAATTTTTTTAATGTTTTCACAAAAGCTCAATTGTTAGAACACCCGCTTCCCCCATGAGAAGTGATCAGGGTCTGTCCATATCTATCTTGGTGGTTAGGGCACTGACCTACAGTATAGGAGACTCAGATTAATTTTTTTTCCTTCCAGGTTGCTCTGGATCAGGCAGAATTGGTAATTCAACCCGTTTACTTAAACATAGGAGGTGGTGGTACCAAAAGGAGAGCTGTGTGAATACTAATGGGTTTTGCTAGGATCTGTATCAACATTTTCCTGTCTTCATCCTAGTCTTTCTTTTGCTCCAATCCTATGGTCTGCTTGAAAAACAATTTAAAAGGGGAAAATGTTGTGTTCTTGAAGTCAGTTTTCATTAGTCCTATGCCAAATAATAAATCTGACTAGTCTTGTGAACTTCAAGGCTTTTTTCATGATGCTGGTTGTAATTTTGAGTTTGTAATGAAATCTAGAATGAATCAAGTCTGGGAGTTGATTCCCAATCTTCTATGTCCATCCAGTACCTTGGAGTAGGTAGGTATCAGTGGTTCATATACATATAAACTAATGACAGATAGTTCAAGGCAATGCATTGGCTTTCCTTTACCAGCTTCATAAACCTCACAATTTATTTGCATTATTATAAAGCATATATATATAAAATAAATGCATATATGTGTATTATGCATGCACTTTTTAAATATGACACTGATTTCCCTGTGCAGAGTAAGTTACTAGACTCATAAAGAACTAAGAAGAGGGTCACATGAGTAACTGCTCCATCTTGTGCCATATTTATGGCTCAGATGTGGTCTTTCACCATGATTCTGATTACCTCTTATAATGAGACATAAGGATCAAATATCAGCTCTCTACAAAGAGTGCCTGCTTTGTGATCTGATCGTATTTGGGAGACCTAAATAAGAAAGGGAGTAAACCTCCTGCAAGTTAAAATGAAGAATTCCCCTGCCTTTTCCAGTTTAAAGGTTGCTAATGAGCATCTGATTCAAGAGCCTTTTATCACTGAAATTAGACTAAAATTTACAGGGTTATTATACTCTGTACTAGTCATCTGCTCTGCAAGTGATATTCTTTTTTAGAAGGTAGGGGAAATGTTAATATTGGAACTAGAATGATGACCTCTTCCACTAGCAGCTGTTGTCAGCAAAAGCCTGCTTACAACTGTGAACAGTTGCCTGCTGTTTAAGTGATGGGCAGTGAATGATTTCATAAAATGTTGTACACATGTTTCTCCTTCATTTAAAATGGCATTAAGAAATTGCATATTTTCAAAACATTGGAACAGCCATATTTTCAAGCTCAGTGCATATATGTGCATGGACCAACCAGCATTTGTGCTTAGTAAGTATGACCTGCCTCTTCAAGACATGAAATAGCAGGTTATATAACTGAATGTCTAAGTACCACTGGCAAGTAAGGAACCATTTGGGCTTTCACTTTACATCGGTGCCATTTTATCTTAGCCAGACCTTGTTTTTAAAATAAATAAATAATTAAGTCCGAGGACAATATGTGGACTTTCTCCCTCCTAAGTAAAGAGATTATTTACTTTTCATAGTCTAAAGCACCATGCAGTTGAAATATCTCAAGCAACTGTAATGAATTCATTGCATGCAGCTGATGAATCAAATCCTGACATTCTGTAGTAGCAGACTAGTAGAGCTCTTTGCTATTACAGGATCAGAACCCATACCTGCAAGGCTAATTCAGGGAGATTGATTGTATTGCCAGTGGGATTTATGAAAGCTGTATTATAATATCATTACAACCTTGTCTTTGCAGTGGCCAGTTTGCTATAGTGAAGAAGTGCCAAGAGAAAGGTACCGGAGTAGAATATGCAGCTAAATTCATTAAGAAGCGTCAGAGCAGGGCCAGCCGCCGTGGAGTGAGACGGGAGGAAATTGAACGGGAGGTGAATATTCTGCAGCAGATCCTACATGGCAACATCATCAAGCTGCATGATGTCTACGAGAACAAGACAGATGTGGTGCTCATCCTTGAGCTGTAAGTAGAAGGATTTCCTATCTCCATGCTAGGATGTAACAAATGGGAACAGGAAAGGGCTGTTAAGGCCTCCAGAGTAAAGAGGTATTCTTAAAACAGAACTTCAGGGCTGTCAGGCTTCAGAAACCACCCACAGATCCTGGCAAAGGATTAGAATGAGGTCACCAGTAAATAACCTCCTTCTTAAATCATCGTAAGCTCTAGAAACAGATGTTTTTGAGAGTCTGCTGGGGTCATTGCTTTAGCAGGGAGTCCTGCTGGTTCGTGGGCGCACAGATCACCTAACATCTGCTCAACAATGGCCTGACGTGTTTTGAAGTGTGATTATCCCTTTTTATTCAGTCCCTCTCTTCCTCCCCTCCCCCTTCAGTGTTTTTGGAAGCAGAATTGTTTATAGATAAATAATGAGGAATAACAAACTTATGAGGACAGCAAAAGGCCTGGCCAGTGCATCCTGGTAGATGTAGTCAAACAGGAAACTCAGTCAGCAGAGGAGAAAGTGGCACCAAAACTACAACTCCCAGGATATTCCACAGTGCCTCTGGTGAGCACTTGAACTAAAACAAGGTGAAATTCTTTTGATTTTCCCCTTGAAAAAATGTTTTCTTTGGAAAGAATGTTTTCCACTGAAAAATTCTTCAATGCAAAATTTTTAACCTAGTCTATGTAATGCAACATTTTTGTATTACTCTGTGCTGCCAGATGAAAGACATGAAAGTGACATAATCTCCCATTGTTTGATCAGCAGGAGCTGGAAATTATGCAAGGAAAGAGGTATAGGCTATTGAATGGCAATCCCTCTGGCTGGCGAAAGCGGTTCCAGAGGAGGATGAAGCTGGTGGTTTGAAATGATGGTGACTTTTCCTGAACTTGGCCACATAATATCCAGGATAGCAGGAGAATCCTTAGGGCTTTGCAGCTTCCTGTTGCAAGCATTGATCCTCTCTCCAAAAGAACTGCTTTCGCAGCTTGTGTACACTGCAGAATAATAGTCATTTGGCTTTGTATTTTGCTTTAGTCTGTATTATATTTAAAAGGATTTTAAATCACCTAACTTCTGTTCCCATTTCTTGGTGAAGAGAACAGTAGGACATTCTACAGATCCCGTGTTTCTAGATACCCTATGGAATAAATGTACAGCACTAGCAAGCTAGAGGTGTGTTCAGAAAGCCTTATAACAAAGCCTTGACTAAGAAATGCTCATATGACATGATCTGGATCTATGAGTTTGCATTCAGGGAGTTGTTTTCCCTATAAATGTGTAAGTTTAATACAGCTCACGTAAAGGGAGTGTGAATGTGGTTGTTTATTCAGTTATCATTTGAATGGAGTTTGGAGTATCAAATAATAACCACAAATTACTTGCAGCAGTGTTTTCTCCCATTGGCCTAGAAATCCTGTCTCCTCTGGATTCAAGAGACAGCACAATCCAGTCATCCATTTCCGATACTGCAGTGCCCTTCCTGTGTAAACCAATGATGCAGCCATCTTCTTCAGCAGGGCTGGCGAGTAGAATGCTTCTATTACATTGCATTCCATTATATTCCATTCCATTATATCGATGTGTTTCTGCTTCACATTCATATTATCTGTGCAAGCAGAGCAGTCTGAAATTCAAGTACCTGAGTCACTTGGCCTAAGACTGCAAAGATTGTTGGACAGGGTATGTGCTATATTCTTCACTGGTGAGGTGCCATATAGTTTTATAGTGCTACAGGAATGATGGAATTGTTTGGGTTATTTAAATGAATTGGATATGTGGGTTACAGCCAAAGTACATGTGTGGGTGAAGCTTATATAGTGGTGTTTAGGAGGATATTACAGACATGCTGATAAATATAAAAGCAAGGAAGTTTTTTTCCTTTGGTGCATTGCTATAGAAGGTCCCTGCATATATAGGGAAACATGAGGAGTTCCTTGGAAAGGAGGAATGTGCCTCTACAGAGGTGTAACATAACATTTGAGTGCCCTGGGTGGCAGCACTACATGGGACTAGGGTGGCCATGATAGAGGACATTCCGGTTTTCTGCTACTCTGTCCTCTATTGATACAAAACCCATCTCCTTTATGTCCTCTATGTCCTTCTGTCCTTTATGTCCCCCTCCTTATGTCCTCTATGTTTCTCTTCAGGAGAAACATAGAGGACATAAAGGGATCCGGTTTCATATCAACAGAGGACAGAGGACAACCAGATTGTCCTCTCTGATGGCAACCCTACATGGGACATTTGTCATTGTGCTACCTGCAGTCTAGTTGTTCAGTGGCTTGTTTTTTTAATCCCTCCCCAAAAGATCAACAACTTGGGCTAATGCCTCCCCCTTACCTATGCTACTGTCGCTCTATCAAGGGAGCTCAGTTCTGTGTAGCCAAGATGTTTGCCAGTCCAGCATTAAGGTAAATGTCACTTTAGCTTATGGAAGGATTGTAGGCAGCAATTTGATGGGAGGCCAATTAATATATCCCAGCAGAGCAGAAAACTGTTCTTGTAGAGCTGCTGAGGAAGCAGACAGAGACACACACACTAGATCATATAGCAGCAATAGTGTCTGACAGAATTATCCCACTGCACAGTTGGTGGGGGAAGGTATTAGAATGAGCATCTATTCAAACACCTTGACTGACCAAGGGTATGGACCAAGTGTACATTTGTAGCCACTTCTAAGGGAGAGGAGGAGACCTGTTTCTCAGGAGCATGCAGCAGCTGTTAGTCTGTACTTGTCACATCTGTGTGATCCCTTAGAGATGTAAGTGAGCTAAATTGCCCTAACCTTGACCTTGGATGAAGCAGGGTTAACAGTGGAGTGGTTTTCCAAGACTTGTATTGCTTCAAAATACTGCAGACATAATCATAGCATCATAACAGCTTTTATCAGTACCTTTTGATAGCAATATAATTGTTACGTTTGTTTATGTCCCACATATAATGAAGTACTACAGTATTTGATGCAGTAGATCAGGGTGGCCAATGTGGGGCACACAGCGGATGCAGGAGAGCATAGGCAGCACAGCAGTAAATAGAACAGGGATCAGTAAACAGCAGCATATGAGCAGCAGAGAGCACAAGGTAGGAAGCACAAAGCAGAGCTGCAGGTTGGGCTGGGGAAGAGGATTGGAGTGGCACTCTGGCAGGGAGCGCAACTTGATTTGATTTGTGGCATGCCTTCCAAATAGCATAACAAATGTGGGGTGAAGGAAACAACTATGAGTGGGTGCCAGGATCCCCCTATCAGGAGTCTTTGCCACATCAGGGAAGCCTTGGACTGCTTAGGCCAGCCACAGGATCTGGTCAGCACAGTGCTGCACCAAGCAGTGTATCTGGGGGCTGAAGGGCAAGGGGAGCAAGTGGAATGACACTCCCCTCCCCTTCTCCCCCAGCTACAGGAGTCGAGTAGTGCAGTGCCACACCACTGGGGACGCGAGTGGGATAACCAAAATGGTCTCATCCCCCTCACCCTCCCCCCACCTCACTGCTGTTGTTTCCACTCCCCCACTTCCACCCCCACCACTCACTGAGTTCCCTGTGCCTGCCAAAAAGGTTGGCCCCACTGCAGTAGATGATCATCACCAGTCTAAATGTGTCACCACAACCTCTGAGAATCACCCTGTAACTATGCAGACAGCTCACCACACAGGAGTGCAACATTCTTCACAGGGTGAAGCTGAGAGCAAGCGGTGTTAAGTGGCCACGTGGTGCCACATGGTGTCGATTTGTATTTATAGCCAGTATTCTGTTCCATCTCTGCGCGGCAGCCATTCTGCTGTGTGCTGCAGACAGATATCATAGTGACTCAAGCAAGTACTCCATGCCTTGAAGATTCAATAGGAGCATCAGATCCTTAGAGCTCTGGGTTTTTGGTGGAGATGAACACAGTATATTTGTCTGTCTGCATAACTAAGAGATTTGCCAACAGTTTGTTTCAGTGTCATTTCAAGAAAATTTTGCAATTGGTTATTAGAGTCAAAGGAGATCCCCAGTCCCTACAAGATTTTTTTTTTAAAGCAGTGAAATAGGAGAAGCTCTAAGCATCTGGGCTCTTCTGCACACAAACTGGCCCCAAAATAGCAGCATAACTTTGGAATTAATACCTTTTCTTTTTTGCTTGTGAGACTGCTTATGCATTCCCTGACACAGATCTAACTGAACTACATCTGCTTCTACCCAGTTACTTTGTGGCAGTATATGTAAAAGTACTCAGAATCTTCACTGCTTCACAGCTCCAAGGGAGCATGTCAAACAGCAGTCCCTAAACAGCAGTTGGCAACCCTTTGGGGTGGCAGGCCACAATGACCCAGCTGGATCCAAGAAGGGCCAGCACTGAGACCCACGTGCTGCTGCCACCACAGCTGGTTGTCCTTGCTGCCCAGCTAGGTCACTGGCAAAGCTCTGTGCCACCCAGTCACAAGGTTCCCAGTGGCTCTGCAGGCCGGATCCACCCCACAGGCCAAAGGTTGTTGACCCCAAATCTAGGAGTGTAAGGCCATAAGTTCGGATCTGAAGGAGTTATGCAGGAGAGAAAGGCTTCCTTTGCCTCCTAATGTTTGTCCCATTTCTGACTTCAATATCTGACAGAAGCCAAAAGTTTAGAGAAGGCAGAGATTCCCCTTACCTCCCCATCAGTCCTCTGAGTATAAATATTGACACTAGATAGATTTGTGTACAAGGCTAAGGACTCCTTTAACAACTTGTTTAAATGTAGTAGCTAGAAAAAAATTTAACCCTTTGAACTTATTTCCAGTCACTGAGATACATTCACCCAATTTATAGGCATTACAAGCATTTCAAGGCAGAACTAACTGTCTGAACTGATCCTTGATCTCTGACTGGGAGTCCCTGAGCTCTACCCTGATACAAATAATGAACTGATCTCCAAGGGGAGCACCATTAAAACCAGCAAAGCTTCCTAAAGGATTAATTTAGCCTTGTGATTGGACAGGTGAAGTGGGACTTATGATGAGCATCCCTGCATTCTTATTTATGCATCTCTGAGTGAGGTAGACCA